AATTTTATATTATTATTAATTAATTAAATATTAAGAATACATATTTCAAATGTAAATTAAATTTATTAATTAATAAAATACTAAGACTTTTTTTTGGTTATCTATTTGTATACAAATGTATTACGATAAATTACAATATATTAAAATTTTTGATTTTTCATGTTAAATTAACATATTCACGAGTAAAAGTACGCTCTATATATTCTTCATACACATTTAATCTATGTTGATACGGGACAATCCATGTACTTGCATCTTCAAAATGATAACGTGTCCAATGGTGCGTAAGTGTGGGCATTGGATATTCTCCATTTAATATCACCTTTATATAATGGTTATCATTAACATGCATTATTGCAATTGTCACGTGTTGAAATGACGACGGAGGTTGTGTCCTAAACGGTAAGTATGACACACTGTTTGTCATATTGAGAACATGCAGTATGACATTGAACCTTGAAGCCGTTAGAATGCTCATCTCAGGCATAGCAATCCAATGCGTAGCTGGTGCGAAGACGCCCTTTTGGAAAAAATTCAGCGCTTCGTGAATGCGTAAGCACTCATTGTCAATCACATAAGATGTCCATACTCAGTTAGTTCAATCATTAACTTTTTACAGATATTGTCTCATTCGTCTTCATGACCACCCAGACAAGTAGATATCGCTCGAAATCCACAATTTCCATTGTCCAATACATCTTGTATTTGTATGATGTATGGATGAAATAAACTCGGGATTTGATCAAGATACGGATGTCGGGTGGTGGGTTGTCATTGGAAATATGAACTATGTCTCTCTGATTATTGATGCCCCAAATCTTCAGAGTTAATAATTGTTGGCATATTAGAACAACTACGTCTATGGTCTTCAATAATTCTTTTATTCAAAGCTTGACTCTTTGTAGATGGACGGCCACAAGTGGTTCTATGAACCGAGGGTTCATCAAATGGTTTTGATGGCATTACTATATCCTTCAACTTTCTGAGTAAGTTTTTATGACCATGAGACGACTGCTTGTTGAATTTTTCTTTGAACAATTGAAATTCATCATCACATCCAATCTCATCATCTTGTGTGGACACACAGGATGAAAAATTAAGTTTTTTTTCCAAAATATATCTATTGCATCAAGTGAAATGGGTATGCCTTGATCTTTTCGTAACAACAACACAACCAACTGAACGTCCCACATTGTGCACCCACTCAGTTATTTCTTCCCAAGAATTGAACACCTGGGAAAAAAATTATAACTTTCATTTGTACAAGTAAGTATTAATAAACTTAAATATCAATTAACATAATATTGTACCTCGTTGGTGAAAAATTCCGGTGTTGTCAAATCTTCTCTCATATTTGATATATATTGAAGAAGAATGAGAGAGTTATATATTGAAGAAGAATGAGAGAGTTATATAACTTTGTGAAATATCGAATGAACGATTCATTCGTTCGTTCGATATATATATCGATAACTTTAATTACTTTATTTCAAATCAAATTATTTTTACAATTATGTAAACAGATACACATGTTAAAAAAACGTATTTTCCTAACGTATTTTGTACTAAATGTCGATATTATTGTTCATAATGTGACATGTTCCTTGATGGATATGAGATAGAATTTAATGTGACATGTTAAAACATATTTTAGTTAATATAAAATTATGTATAATAATGTGATAATTATGTAAAACGAAAATTGAAATTTATTGGATTTGACGTTAGTTTTTGCCTAATTTTTGTCTTATTCTCATAAAAAAATAAAAACGATTTTTATACACACAAATATATATATATATATATATATATATATATATATATATATATATATGTATATGTATATATATGTATGTATATGTATGTATATGTATGTATGTATGTAGGGAAGGATTCAAACGAGAACCTTTGTAATTTATGAAAACGTGAGAACAATCTCTAAGTCAAACATTATGTTTTAAATCACAATTTAAGAGATGTTATGGGATTTTTTAAATTTAAATTAATATCCAAAATTTTCTAAAAATATTAAACACGTTGAAGGGTAAAAATGGAAAAAGAAAACGCAAATCACATAACACAAACAACCAGTGCCAATGAACGTGGAGGCGATAAGCTTAGTTGTTTGACATCATGATCACATGAATCCGTAAAAGAAGAGTAGTAGGCAAAATCGACATCGGAGGCAACGAGAGAATACATATTGTCGGCTAAGAAGATGTATGACATATGTATCACATTTGTTACATAGAATTATTATGACAAAATCGAAGTATCACATCTTTATCACACAGCTTCCTATCAATGATTGTATTCAATAACTGATTTGGTGTGATATCACGTATTTATCACACTTATTAGATAGAAGCATTAGGCCAAAATCAAATGTGAGAATACCTTAAATCGTCGATATTGTTATAGCATCCACATAGATAGAAATTTTACGGCAAAATCAAGTAACACATCTCTGTCACATTACCTCTATTTTGAATCACTAGTTATATTGCATTACTGATTTGGTGTGATATCACGTATTTATCACACTTATTAGAAAGAATTATTAGGGGCAAAATCTAAGGTGAAAATATGTTAAACCGTCTCTATTGTTGTGGTATCACGTATTTATCACAGTTAACACATCGAGTAGGAGAAGTTGAGTGGCTATCACATTGATTCATAGTTAACAGATCGATAAGTAGAAGATGATTGTGTATGACATTGCTATCACACCTTTGTTATAACACCATTGTCATCACAATGATCACATTTGGATTACAAATATTGAATGTGTATTACATTGTTATTAGAGTTGATGAATCGATTAACAGAAGTTGATTGAGTATCACAAGTAATATTTCGAATCAATATGTAGAAGTTGATTGATAATCACATTGCTATCACAGTTAATACTTCGAGTCGAGTAAGATGATTGGGTATCACATTGCTATCACAGTTGCCACTTCGAGTCGAGCAAGATGATTGAATCTATTAGATTAAACGATCGGAGACATGATCAGATTCTGATAGAAAATCATGCGATAATTATAATTAATCAAAACAATATTAAAATGATAAAAAATACATAATTACATAACCACCCTCAATGATTTACTTTTATTTATTATAATTTGAATTATTGGTTAATAAAGTTTGAGGCTCACAACTGTTCTTGCGTTTTTGCAAAACAGAGGGGTTCTTGTTTGAACTTCTGCCTATATATGTGTGTGTGTGTGTGTATATATATATATATATTACGATTCTCACCTTAACTATGCTTCTTACACGATGTTATGTCTCTATCTCTTTATATATATATATATATATATATATATATATATATATATATATAAAGAGATAGAGACTTATCGTGTAAGAAGCATAGTTAAGGTGAGAATCGTAAGAAGAGATCTAGACCCTTAAATCACTTTTAGTCTCATATACATCCATAAATTGCGTTTGATACGAGGATTGATCTGGTACATCTCATTTCCAGTCTCCTAACCTCATTTCGGTAATTTCATCATAATGTGCATTCAAAGATGAAGATCATTTTTTACACTTCTCATCTTAATTCTCTCTCACGAGAACCCAAGCCTATATACATATACACGATATCAAAATTAATAAAATAGAATATTATTATATGATTTAATTTCTTTAAAAAAAGTAAAAATTAATTATATTAAATACGATTTAAAAAAAAAAGATACCGTTTTATTGTTTTAATATAATTAAAATTTTAATTTAAACAAATCAAATCATAAAATTACTTGAATAAAATAAGATATGGTTTTATGGTTTGATTTGTTTAAATTTAAAAATATTGGTTCTACTTTTTATAGGAAAAAAATCTTCTCTATAGAGAATTCTTTAAACTTGAAGGTTTTTCATGTATTCTTTATTTTAAAGAATAACATAGAGAATCTATTAGAGCTAAAAATATATAACAAGACTCTCATTTTCTCTATTTATTTTCGAGAAGTTAGTTGTTTGGAGATGTGTAAAGCAACATTTTGTCTAAATAACTAGAATCAATGGCACCCAAGATACATCACTACTTCATGCCCATGCCCATACTGTTTTTATAAAACTAAATTCAATTTTAGCAGCAGAAAAGTGAGAATTCAATGGCTCTCAAATACAAATTCCTTATCTTGTAAGAACAAAAATACTGATACTGATAGAATAACAAATGATGCAGACACCTCCTCCTTGCTTCATGTGTGTACCATTTTGCACAACACATTGCTTTCAACCCACCAGTTTCTGTATACAAGATACATAACTTCAGCTTAAAATGATCACAAACCTCAAGTGGGATGTTGGAGCATGACCTTTTATTATTATTTTCAAAACTAAGAACTTAAAAGTACACTAGAGGATTAGATTATTAAATTCAGTTTTTTAGAAGGTCATGCAGCTAAATAGCCCTTAAAAGCAAGAAAAATGGTAACTGATGAACAAAAAAGAGAAATTCAATCCGTCATAAAGACATAATAAACAAGAAATTCAAGATACAGGGAAGATGCAGGAACATACCTAGGTGAATACCTTGAATAATCAATGTTTTTCCATAATTTCCCTAAATAATTCCTTCGGTGCTGCAGTAATAAAAGCCAGAGGAAAAGGGAAACTCTAAGATTCTATAAGCGATTAGAGCATCCATGAAACATCGTAATTTCTTTTAAAGCTTACCAGGCAACCCTGTAAATCTCTCATATTGTTCATATGCCTGCCCTATAAACATCTCCACCCCTGTTACAATTTTGGCTCCACATTCTCTTGCTTCCCGCAGTAATCTGGTAATTTTGGGTGTATATACAGCATCAAATACCAGTGCATACGACTTTAAAGCTTCCTGCCAAAACAAAATGAGGAAATTAAAATAAATGAAACTCTTCGGTGCTTTAATCTTGTTAGGCTCCTTTCATTCCTTTATAACTTATATGTGGCCTTCCATTATGCTTTCTAGAATTCTAGATGTGTTTCTTTTTCTTGAGGTACAGTTTGTGTAATTTGCACTAAATTTCAACACACAATTCAGCAATTAGAAGGTAAATATTAAATAATTCTTCCAATATTGTAATATATGAAACAAGAAACTCAGCTTACGTCATTGAGCAAAATTTCTCAGTTGACATGACACTACTGACAGTTAACAACTAAGCCACCGTGTAACCAGATCCATACTCAAACAAGAGAGCTTTCTTCGATCAATCTTTTGCTTTTGCTTATTTTAACATATAAAACAAGTGTTCTAAAAGGTTTCATTTAGACCCCTATCCGTGTGTCGAATACTTCAGTCCATGTTAACCCCTTCTGTTACTCGAATGAATGGCCATTTAGACACTAAATTGATTGATAATGTCATGGTAGTTTATGTATGTGATTATTGTTGTATGCAAGTTACAAGACCGTGAAGGAACTTATAAATAATGGTGACTACTTTATCCCTTTTCCTTCCACAATGCAAAAAGAATAGAATTCTGAAAAGTTTCAAACAGATCACCGATACTCTCGGAGACTAGACAAGCCTAGGTGGACAATGGGAGGCAGTGGAGCACATAGTTTCTGAAGGATTGTGATAGAAGAAAACAGAACCGAAAATAAATGGAACACAATGAAAGTTTGAAGCTAAGGCTACATTTTCACTATGTCAGTTGGTACCTTACCTAGAGTTCTGATATCATGTAGCATTCAGGATCCAATAACTTCATTCCATTGAACAACACACAAGATATGTATAGGCATATAGCCGTATAACCGAAGCTTAACATCATTATTGATCCTAAAGTATTATGGTTCTATCTTTTAACACAATCAATTCATCAAACTTACAACCAGCTAGGACAGCTAAAGAAAATATCTCCTGATTGATTTGTATTAAAGGTATAATGAATCATCTCAACATCAATTACAAAGTTCTTTTTTTTTTTGTAACCATGGGTGTCTGGACCAGCCTGGCCGCACCTTGACTAATCCCATGAGCCCTTGAAGATAACAACCTGGAAAATCCCCAATGTCCCTGGGGAGATCCGAACAGGTGACCAATGGGGAGGAACCCCAAGGCCTCTCTTTTATTTCCCAGTTGAGCTGGCCCTCAAGGTTAAAGTTAGTATCCCCAAAATGGGTCTTTCATTTTAGCACCAAAAGGTTGGCCTAGCGGTTGTACCTCCTGAAGGCTGGCATCAGGTCTCAGGTTCGATTCGCTAGGTGCTATCAACTCCTTTGAGAGCCATGCTGCTAGCCGGAACCCCTGAAGTTTGCATGGATCCTGTTGACTAGTTGGGCCAAAAGTGCCAAATACCACCCCAAAAAAAAGACCACCTCCAAAAAAAAAAACTCAAAAATCTGTGATCCTCACAGAAAGGGAGAAGTACTCAAAGTCTGTATCATGTGGTGGTATTCAATTCGTGGTGCAAGAGAAAGACATACAGAGCCAACTTTCTTGAAAACAGTAGTATATGGAAACAGAGTGACGTAACTTAGGCCCAAATATCAAGCAAACATTCACTTCATGTAATAACTAGATTTCCAATTCTAAAGCATAATAACATTAGAGAATAGTAGATAAACAAACCTTAGAAATAGGAGTCTCCTCAATGTTTGGCTGCATACCAATTGACGTGGTGTTTGCAAGTATCATACCCTCTTCTGGGTGGTAAGTACTTAAATCAGCAAGAGACAGAGCCTCTCCACCAATTATCTCAGCAAGTTCTCTAGCCCGATCTATGCAGTATCAGAAAGGAACAACTTTTAAGCAGTTGGTGATAATTTGTGCATATAAATATTAGTTCACTTTCACCTTAATTGAACCAGAAAAGAATGCCAAAAAAAACTAGCATGGTACTCCCTCTGTCCCAAAATAAATGTCCATTAGGAAAAAGGCAAAAAGTTTTTTTGAAATGTGTATTTATTACACTTTTAAATTAACTAAATGAAATTTTACTCTTAATAATAGGAGTAATGAATTTCTCCATCTCATAATTAAGATAGAATTGAAAATTAGATACTTAGTTTTGAAAGTGGACACTTATTTTGGGACAAACTAAAAAGGAAATGTTATGAATTTGTGACACTTATTTTGGGACGGGGGGAGTATTAAGAAACGATAATGCAAAGCTAGTAGAATCTAACCATAAGTTCGATTGGCTATCACAATCCTTGCACCCTTCTCTTTTGCTCCATAAGCAAGTGCTTTTCCAGCACCACCAGCACCAATAACCACAAATAGTTTACCAGCCAAGGGTGAAACAGTTGAACCATTTTGAACGTCTGAACCTGTAAACATTTAGTAGAATCTGGACATTGATCATCTGCTTTATTGAAAAATGCAACATGATAGGAAGTAGAGAAGGAAACCTCGTAGACCATCCTCAATGGCAGAAATAGCACCTACATAGTCTGTATTACAACCGTATAACTTCCCATCATTCTGTCTCCTGATTATGCAATTGACCGCTCCTATCGACTGTTGGAGACAACCAAGAAATGATTACATGAAAAGCCATACTTCACCATCAGTCATGATCTTAATCAGCTTTAGTAGATTGGGTTCAAGAGAGAACACTAAAGGAAAGGAGAACTAAGGAACTGATCCAAACCATCCATCTATTTTAATCCGACGATTATAGGTGCGGTTACATTTGATATGGGCCACCTATTTCTTACATCCGATGGCTGATAGAAGTTTCCTTGTTCTCTTTTTTTTGGAGGGTTCTCTCTTGAACCTCCCTCAAGCCTTCTATAAGAGTAACAAGACAATTTACCTTTGCAATTGGATCAACCTCATCACAGCATTGAACTACAGATTCTTTGTGAGGAATGGTACAACTGCATCCAAATGATCATTTACCTTTGTAAATACATCTTTAGATTTTACTAATGTGAATAAATAGAAATAAACACAGTTCTGCATTGCTTATACATTATGATCACCAAAATAGTTGGAAATGATAAAATGAAGACATTAAAATACTAGAACTAACAAATAAATTAAAAGTTAACCTGAACCCAGCAAAATCTGTAGATGAGTAAGTCTCCAGAAAATTCTTTACGTCATCGACCAACAAATGCACATAAACTCCATTGAAACCAACAGATCTGAAAGCATGATTGTACAACATAGGTGATTTGCTATGCCCAACTGGCTTCCCTATGATACCATATACTTTTGTGTCAGGACCTAATTGTCTGAAATTGAACAAGTCCAAAAGATCCCTAATTGTAGGCTGCCCAGGTGCGGATACTCTTCCATGCTCAAGGGTACCAAATGTGAGATATCCACCAAATTTCGGGCAGAGTACTCGAGACATCAAACCCCTCTCACCCATCACCATTGCTATTATTGGAACCTGGAATATTAATCAGATTATTTAAACCACCAGCCAAATGAAATGACACAAGAAAAGATTCAGAGGAGTTCATATTGTATGGAGGATGCTGAAGAACCCTTCACCTTTTTCTAGTACTCATTTCAGATTCGCATGGCATAAAGAGAACCTTTCAATAAATTAATTAGCTGTGGATGGTTCATCAAATCTTAAAGTAAATAAACGTTTTCTTTGGAGTTTCCTCTAACCGCATTCTAGTATCAACCTCATCTCAATTTTTTTCAAACAGCCCTTTTATGTTTTACCTGATGTAGTCTACTATTATTGCTCATCTTGGTTTTGGTCTTCCCTACACATAGAATATCTTTTAGATCCCCCTATTCTTTTCATCCAATAACATATTCTCAAGTCCACATTTTACCTAATTTAAATTTCTCTCATATTTCACAATTCATGCATTATCTCCTTGAATATATTGATTTCTTTTCTCTTAATTTCCCTAGTTTTGCTGCATATACAACATTACAACCTAACAATGCCACACTAGTACTCCTTTTGTGGTATCCGAGCTTCTTATAAAGAACATAAAAAAACGAGAAAACAAAAATATAATTGTAGAATATATGCTGCACGACTTACGCCGCTTACTTGAGAATGAGCAGTTATTTGAAAAACTCGTGCTACATCAGTTATATCTAAAGCGGTTGTAGCAAACTTCACAATGTCAGCCCCTGTTGATTGTATTTTGGCCACAAGGTTCCCCATGTCTTCTACTGAGGGAGTATTTTGATAATTGTGGGAAGAAACTATGAGTTTGCACTTTGTAGGCTTATCTCCATGTATTAAATTCTTGAAATCATCAACTGCCTGCAAGTGAATAATTAACATGAGAAATCTGATTGAAATATTATGTTTGACAGTAGATACCAATTGGGGTTAGGGCTGGTATATCACAGGTTTAATCTTTGCACTTGTAGAAATCTAGGATTAAAAAGACTATAGTATAAAGAATATAGTACTTTAAATGGGCACATGGGTATTTACAAATAAAAAATGAAGCAATAAAATAACTAATACATCAGAAAATCATTAGGATTAAAAGGTATTTACAAGATTGGATCATGCACCAAGAAACATAAAACAAGCAAAAAAATCGCTACAACATAACAAAAAAATATAGAGGAATATAACGTAAATACTACTAAAATTCCTCCAGATGGAACATGGATGCAAATCATGCAAATATGCCTCAGACAAAGTCAGTTTTGAGTCTTCTGCGAAATTTCCTTAGAGTTTGCTAATAGATCCTCCTCTGAATTTGCTGATTGATCCTCCCTTTGAAAAGCTCTTACTCTCTACTATCCCTTCTATGAATATATAAGAGACGTGAGTTTGGAACTTCTTTGACATACCTCAAGATATCTAGAATCACATCCCCAGAGTCTAAATTCTAATCAGGCCCAATTAGAGACCAAAGAAGCCAACTTTTCCACATAAGACCCTTTGATTGTTAAAAGGCCCATATTGGAAACCATGTGGTCAGGACTCAGGAGAATTACCAACATTCTCAATGACCTACAAGGACAGTATAAAAATTACCAACCCTGGGTTATTAGGCTAATTTTTCGGGGGAGTACCTGTCAATATTGACAGAAAAAAGAACAGAAAGAAACAAGCACACATTGTATATACCAAGGGTAATAGTGTTGGTGGCTTAACATCTACCACATTCTGGATTTAAGTAAAAACTGCAAACAAGTTCTCCAACTCATGGCTCAGCTTAAAGCCAAATAAGCTAAATGATCAAGTTCTTTTTACACAAATTCATCAATAACTTAGATGTCTTTGTGACCGTTTTAGTACAAATCAAATGAATAATAAAACATGAATATGATTCAAAACAATGTAAAATAAGCATTATTTATTTCAAATGAAACGTTAGCTTGTAAGAGCCCCATTTTTGTCAAGAAGAAAGCAACCTGAAGCTCAACATCAATGTGATCAGCTCCTAACTCCATCGCCAATCGGAGGGCATCCAATCGACTCTGTTCATCCCCATTATACTGACCACCTTCCCATGTCGGTCTAACAAATAACACAAAATCAGAAACTTTTGAGACAGATAAACTGTTTACGATCAAATATGCTCAAGATTTGCAAGATCCAGAATCCTAGCTACAAAAGAAAATCTACATGTCTCTTTTCATAAGGAGGGAGTCAAAGTAAGAAAGAGTCAGCGCCTCAGAGGGACCAATTTGAAGCCCAACAAGTATCTGCAATGTTAAATTCAAGACTTGCCAAATCACTAAAGCAGTACTTCTATGTTGGGCAATAGGGGTCATTTAGGAGAATAACATTCTCACAATTTTTTTAAATGTGTGATGACCTTCAAATAGATTTTGAAGCATTCTTGTGTTAGCCATTCGTCTGTTAGGCAGAGACGTTCTTCTCTATCAGAAGGTTATTTTCCTAAATACCCCAAAATTTTCAGGGGACTAAAATATGAAAAAATGAAGACTGCATTCATATCCTAAGGGTGTTATATGTAGAAATAGCACCTGTAAGTGAAAAGCGTGGGGAGAGAACTGAGTTTGATTAGGGTTTGTATATCCTCCCGAGGGCTAAACTCCTTTAAGCTATCCAATCGGATTTCAACAAGATCAGCACCACTAGATTTCGCCAAATTCATTTGAACCAGCATCTGATCCACCGTATCCGCCATTATCGGTGCACAAATTAGGGTTGAATTCCTCGTAATCCCTTCACTTCCTCCCATCCTCTCAACAGCGGGCGTTACCTGACGAAAATTTCCCAATCAAACATAAACCCCAAACTTAAAAATAAACAAAAAACAATACGCAACATCCCATCAAAATGCAGTAGAATGAACTCAAAATCAGTCAACCCATTTCCAAGATTTCACAAAACCAAATCCCTATAAGCTCTTGCAGGAGAGAAACGCAAACATACATGCATAAAGTCATCAAAGAGAGTTATATCTAGATAAAGATAAAGACTTACAAGCTCCATTGCAGTTCTCGTGCGCAGATGAGGAAGGTAAATGGTCGAAAAAGAATGCAATTGAAAGTGGTCTTTGTACCAGTTGTTGGTAAGCAATAGGGGTGGGGGTTGGTGGAGAGTTGCGAATAACAAATTGAAAAGTGATTTGCTGCTTCGTGGGAAGGAGGGGTTAGTTGGGAATCCATCTTGAACGTTCAATTATCGCATGTCTATGAATCGGCAACGTCCCTCGCCTTTGGTACGTTGGATCAAACAACCAAACGTTTCCATAAATAAAGCAATTTTCGATAAACAACACGATATAACCAGACGATCTTTAGTGAGATACGATAACAAAAGAAATTGCAAAAGGTTTCAGTGTTTTAATTCGATATAACTAGTTCAACAATAATTTACTGAATGTGTTTTCATTTTACTGATTCTTGTTTTGCTTAAATTACTGAGGGAAAAGATACATTTTTGTCACGTTCAGATATGTCTTATCTCTTCATCTTGTTTCTGAAGTTTTTATGAATGTCCAAAAATATTAAAGAACTGAAATCCGTCACAAAATAATAGAGGAGAGCAAATAGACGTATGAAGACATGATTTAAAAAGATTGTTTCAAAATGTACAAACAGGACAATACAATACAATACAAGATAATATGATATGGAATGAATGAATGAATGGCATGAAAACGATATAATATCAAAAATGTATGGTAAAATTTTTAAAGAAAAACAATTTTATTTTGGTATCAATCAAATAATTTCTAGAGTAAACTATAAATTTGGTTCTTGTGGTTTGTCGATTATAATATTTTTCATTCTTATAGTTATGGAATTACAATATGGTCATTGTGGTTTGTAAAATCATTCAGATTTGGTCTCTCTTTAATGGCCTTCAAAAACCCCGTTAAGTCAAGGGGTATGTTAGTCTTTTTCACTTTTATTCTATTTTTCTTTAATAAATATGTAAATTATAGGGACCAAAAATATAACTTACTCTACTATATATACAAAAAAGTTAATTTCCTCTAATATATATATATATATATATATATATACACTCGCATTATATATAACCCAGAGAACAACCCCTCGAAATCTTCGCGAACCAACGCCACCTCATCCTCCGATCTTTCAACCCCTCAACACTTCTCCTTTTCTACGTCAATCTCCAACATCTTCGCCTTGTACAAGAACCCAAAATCTCTAATAGAGACGAGGACCACGTGTGCCATCGATCTCTCTCTCTAAATCGACTCACACCTCAACTCTCCCCTTCTAGAACGAGAAAACCATCTCCTCTATGATTTAGGTTTGCAACAATTTTCAGTTTGGTTTTAGGTTTGATTATTATTTTGACTTTGAGGGTTGGATTAGAATTCGGGTTTGATTTTAATTTTGATGACTAGATAGTAGATGGCACTGGTAGCAGCCGTTGGAGATGATCAATGATTTTAATTTTAATTTCGGCCGACAGTCGAAATGAGGTGATTGGCGGCCGGGAGGGGTGGTTGACAACAGCTACTGGTCAGTTTTGTGGTTTTAGCTCGCGATCAGTTTTTTGGGTTGTGTTTGTCGCAGGCGGTTGTCGAAATGAGGGAGATAGGGTTTTAATCTGTTTGATATTACCTGCGGATTTCTGACGGATCTGTCCGGCAGAAATTTTTAAAAATATTAAATCTTTTAAAAGTTAAATGGTTTCTTGAAAATTTTGAAATTTTAGATTACCGGCGGACACATCCGCCGGAAAAGATATTTTTTTAAAATTATTATTATTATTATTATTATTATTATTAAAATTATTATATATTTTTAAAACTATTATTATTATTATTATTAAAGTTATTATATATTTTAAAACTATTATTATTATTAAAATTATTAGATATTTTTTAAACTATTATTATTATTATTATTATTATTATTATTATTATTATTATTATTATTATTATTATTATTATTATTATTATTATTATTATTATTAAACTGTAAAAGTCCCATAAGATCCATTAAAGCTCAAGACAATCCATTGAAACCGAATACGATCCGTTAAAGCCCAGTATGATCCGTTAAATCCCAACATGATCCATTAAAGCCAGTACGATCCATAAGAGCCCAATATAACTTTTAAAGTCCAATACGATCCATTAAAGCTCAATCGGTTCATTAAAATTCAATACAGTCCATTAAAGCCCAATATCATCTATTAAACCACAACTAACATCCACTAAAGCCCAATACGATACTTTAAAGCCCAATACGATGCTTTAAAGTCCAATATGATCCATTAAAGTCAGATATGATCCATTAAAGCCAGATATGATTTATTAAAGCCCAATAAGATCGATTAAAGCTCCATACGATCCATTAAAGCCAAAGACGATCCATTAAAACCCAATACAATCCGTTAAATCCAAATACGATCCATGAAAGCTCAATAGAAACGTCAAAAAGCCCAACTAACATTTGTTAAAGCCCAACATGATCCATTAAAGCCTAACACGATCCATTAAAAGCTCAATACGATCTATTATAGCCAATATGATCAATTAAAGCCCAATAGAACCTTTAAAGCCTAATACGATCCATTAAAGCTCAAACGGTTCATTAAAACTCAATACGGTTCATTAAAGCCCAATACGGTCTATTAAAGCCGAATACTATCCATTAAACCACAACTAACATTCACTAAAGCCCAATACGATTCATTAAGTCGGATACGATCCATTAAAGCCCAATCGGTCCATTAAAACCCAATACGATCTGTTAAAGCACAATATGATCCATTAAACCACAACTAACATCTACTAAGCCTAATATGATGCACTGAAACTCAATAGAACCGTTAAAGCCCAATATGATCCATTAAAACCTAATACGATCAATTAAACCAAAACTAACATCCACTAAAGTCCAACACGATGCATTAAATCCCAGTACGATTCATTAAAGCCCAGTACGATCCGTTAAAGCCCAATACGATCCGTTAATGGCCAACTAAGCCAACTAACATCCACTAAAGCCCAATACGATTTTTTAAGCCCAATACGATTTTTTAAAACTCAATACGATCCATTAAGAAAAAAAAGTTTGAAAAAATGGGAAAATAAACAAAAAGCCGGAAATCCGCTGAAAATAATTGAGTTTTTTTCTAAATATTGAATAATTATTACCGGGGGACCCCCGGAAATCCGCCGGAATATTTTAAAATTAAATTTTAACTTTTAATTACTTTCCGGCTGACCTTAATTTTAAAAAATTAATTAAATATCCGCCGGTAAATAGTGTAATTAGAGTTACAACTATTTTAAAATAATTAATTACAAAATCCGCCAGAAATACGTATGGAATATTATCATAATCGGATTACTGGCGGAAATCCGGCGGCTTTCCAGCAGAAGTGAACAAAAGCTGACTTGTTTGTTGTCCGCCGATGATGTTCTGGTGGATTTTGTCCACCGAAAATTCGGTCGGAAAAACTCAGTTTTCTAATAGTGTGAGTTTACAACTATACCCTTTATAGTACAATAAATTTCACTATGGGATTTTATAGAGGAACATGGTTAATATTTTTGAAAATACTTAAGACTTTGATGTTACATATATACTTTTCTAAATGGAATAGATAAACAATTAAAGAAATGGGATTTTATACCTTTAGAAGACAAGTCATAGGTGAGTTCCTTGCCATGTCACACTTGCTATATTCAAGTGATTCTTTCTTTTAATAAAAAGGGTGTGCATGCACATGGTGTTGGTGTTGGTGTTGCAAATTCATCACTCCAACTCAAATAATGAAACCGCGAATTGTGGATCTTGATTTCCTTGTAAATGTATTAATTTCCTTAAATGAAACCACTATTACCAAAAGATTAATTGAAAAATGAGAAGTTGCCCTTGAAAAAAAAAATACATGGTTCATGATTTCTAAAGCAACGAACACAGAAACCCTAAAGTTAAAAGAATATCTTAAATATAATCGGAGTTTTGGTACGGATTTGATTGGAGAAAGGGTACGGGAAAGGGGAGCTCGCTGGAAATAGAATGAGATGGGATGGTTCAAGAAGAGGGAGGGAGGGCGGCGGCTTTGGAAGGTACCAGGGTAATTTTATAATTTAAGGAAAAAAATTTTAATTTAATTATATATTTTAAAAGACAAAAATGCCCCTTATGGCACATGATAGAGTAAACGGAGCCTCATCTAATGGTGTTAACGGGAGGACTAGTTTGGGCTTAAAAAAATGATTTTTGGACCACTGGTGTACTTTATGATTTTGAGGGATAAAAATCAAAAAAGGAGCATTCGTGTCTAATTCATTCATTTATATATATTATTAATTATAACCATTATTAGTGAATAAATAAATTAGTTAAGTTAATATTTTAATATCTAATGTAACTATATTTTTTGTATATTAATTAGTTTTAATAAATTTACTTAAACTTATACTTTTATATTTTACTAATTGTGTACCCGCACAATGCGACGGAATATAAAATTCAAATAACTATAAGCAAAATGAAGTTGTATCGAAATTTGGAAATGCTTGTCACTGACTCATCAATTGTATGAATGAAATTCAAACGCGATTTTTAAAAAGTTATACGTATGCGGTAATAGATTGTACACTTGAATGGGAAACTGACAACAAGAAATAAATAAAAGTAAAATGTTTATAAGTGAACACGACCTAAAATAAAAAATTACCAAAAAAATAAACCAATAATCTTAGATTCCATAATCATATTTATCAATAATTGTAACAACAACTTAATTGATAAGTCTATCGAAATAGGTTGTACTTTTGCCCTGCTTTTCTTGTATATATCTCCTATGCATGCAATTAATATTGGCTCATCTTTCTTTGATGTGCTTTATTGTATATGATTTTCTCAGTACAAATAATCCATCAAATAAATCATGATGAAGAGGTGAACATGGCTCATTATATGCCCCAAACCCTTTTATTATTGCCACAAAGACAGTGTAGAAGTCTATGTCTTTGGTGATAGCAAACACCCATATAAAGGGTCGTTTACGGAACCCCTATCTAAAGGTAGGAAACTCTTAGATTGATAGTTCAATCTCATTAGCAACACGAAAGATAGGTGCAATTTGAGCAAGAGATGAAGGCATTG